CCAGGTTTTTACCCCCCCCCCCCCCCCGTCACACAGGCAAACTTACAAACAATATCATAAACTGATGCCCCAGGTGAAACATCAATTAATTCTTATAGAAATCAATTGAAGTTTTCTGTGTAGATGAAAGAATTGTCACCATTGATAATCTAAATCTGCATTTCAGAACAACAATCACAGAGGGATCACCCTAAGATGTCAAAGTGAAAAAAATTGAGCCAATGATACATAATTATATAGGCTGTTTTCTGGGAAAGTTCACAGTACATACTAATCCATATGCCAAGACAGTAACAGATGGACATAAGAAAGATCATATTTTATGTAGCATATATAAATATTTGAATATATTTCATGCAAGTCATTTGTGTGAGGCTATAACAGCTGACATTGCTAATGGCAGTCAAAGGCTCACTCATGACTTCATTGATGGCATTCATAAAATATGCCGACTACGATTTGTAAAAAAACACCAATTAAAAGTTAAGCCCTCTTTAAATGAATCAGAGAGTTATCAATAGTCACTTGAAACAAGACCGTCAGCCCATCCAGGCACAGGAATACGTGTTTGCACAGGCACCCCTAAACGTATGGATCGCCTAACTCATCTCCTCTTAACACTCGTATACAGGCGACCTTAGGCTGTTGATCTGAGAGCCGGCCGAGCTTGTGGAAACCTATCCACAGGACGTGGACAAGTCTGAAGTGCCTGTGAGCTCTTTGCAGCATCGGTTTGTTTACCAGTCTCCTACACACAAACTGATGACAGCATAAATCATCATCATCATCACATGCGACTCAACTATCAGCTTCTTTTGCACCTAAAACTACTTAAAACTAAAATGAAGGTGGACAACGGCAGACACGAAACTTTGAAGTCTCAAAACAAACATTGGTAAAGAATAACAAGCCATGGAAAAAACAATTTTAAGACTATATAGAAATTTCTAACATAATAAGTGTACCATAACTTGATTGCAAAATATAAATAATATTAATATATCCCCAAGACTTTGTCGTTGATAAACATTGGACACAATTTCTCATAGAATCCCTCAAATATTCATTCCAAATTCACCCAATTCTTCCTGTGCCGGCTTTCAAGATGGAATAGTCGATAGGATCAATACCCTTACCAGATAATGACACAATCACAAAGCCACTGTGTATTTATAGATATATATATATCACTGGTCCAGTTGTCCTAGATGGTCAACATGTGGTAGACATAGCATTCAGAATGAAAGAATCAATCCATCTTTATATTCACATAGATGTATCGGACGAATTTGAGCGATGCAAAGAAGGAGACGGTGGCGAGCATGAGGAAAAACACGTAGCACGTCAGGGCCGTGTAGCCCAGGAACTCCAGGGTCTGCAGCAGGCCGGACATGTTGGAACGTTTGTAGTAGTAGAACAAGGCGTAGAGGAACACAAAGATGCCAGTGGACCTATATGGGGGAAGAGAGAGAGAGAGAGTTGAAATAAATGAGCTGGAATCATTGTCAATTAAATTTAGCCGCTGCTATGAAACCAGTGGTTATCAACTTGTGGCAGCCTGACATAATATGCAGGGGGCTCACTTGATAACTTTTCTGTGTGTAAAAATAGGCATTCTTATCTAATTAGTACCACCTTTCATTTCCAAATGTCCGTCTTATTTACAACGATCAAACTAATTAATTAGTGTCGCTTCCCTGTGACTCAGTAAAATACTCTGATGTAAGCGCCAATTTTATTTATAGGATGTGACTATTTCTTTTTCTTTTTATAAAAAATGAGTATGTACCATCGCTTCCTCATTTTCTAAGAATGATCCTGGTGGTGGGTCACCACAACTTTTCACAATTCATCTTTCAAGGGGTATCAGCGCTTAAAAGGTTGATAACCACTAAGTCAGACAGCAATGGTTCCTAAATCTTTGAGCAGGGGCACATTTAAAGGAGTTCAGTTTATAACAAGACAATAGATTTTTAGTTCTCTAAAAGGAAAATCCCCAGTAAATTTCCAAAAGGTCGTCATGTCTCTTGACCTCTCATCTAGTGCTGTCAGGTAAACATGGAACAATGTAGATATTTTAACTCAATGCACTACTAGATATGTTTTGGCTTTAGAATTCAAATATTAAAAAAAAATATTTTGTATAAATTAAAAAAAAAACAAAAAAAACCCATCAAATCTATAAAATTAGTGTGTTCAAATTCAAAATAAAAAAGCATTATCCAACTTAAAAAAAAATAATTGATTGATCTATCAAAGTTTAAATCGTAGGCCGATATTTTAAACTTTGAAGTTGGCCAAATATTGATCAACGCAATGCTGAAGAATTCAAATAATGAGGAGTCTGGAGCTTTGAGCTAATGATAAATCTTCTTTTCATTCTGTGGACATAATACTAGATTGTTACATCAACATAACCGGTGACCACTCTCTGACACCAATATGACGGGTGACCACTCTCTGACACCAATGTATGCAACTATCCTCCCTGTTGTGGGTAATACGTATACTAATGGTCTGGATCTATGATGTTTGTCGGTTAAAATTTTTTTCCCTCCGCAGTGTGGATCTTTTGAACAAAAAAACTCTCTTGCAGTGTGCAGTTACTTACCCGGCACTGAATATGGAGCGCCACCACCAGCGGTAGTCTTCGGCAGACAGCTGAAAGTACGTGAGGGCTATTGAAATGCAAGCGGTCACGCTGAGCAGGATGCCGTAGACAATGAAGAGGATGCCAAACAGTGTGTACTGCTCACGTCCCCAAAGTGTGGCAAAGATGTAGTAGAGTTCAACCGATATTGCACTGAAGAGAAATATGATTTTCTAAAAACTGTTGAACAAAAATTAAATGAAATTTTTTAATTAAAAAGATCATTACAGACATTTGAATAAAGATGTATAACTATCCAAACACGGTGGGATCACCTGAATGGCAAGAAGCCACCGATGGCACAATGAGCCAGGGCCGACCTGTACCAGGGCACACTTGGAATTTCCCTGGCGATGTTCTTAGTTCTGCAAGGTGCGTCGAAGCTTCCCGCGTAGTTTTTGCCAAAGATTCCTCCCAGCACAGTCAACGGGTAACCAACTGTGGATGACAAACAAACAAATTAGTGATTTTTTACCAACACAAGTGCAACTACTCTCACAATAAATTACTGCCTATTTTTAAATCCTTAATTTACTTTGCTTTTCTTCGTGGCCAGAAAATTTTCGGACGGCTCATTGACCCACTTCCCGTCAACCCATCGAGCCGAAACTTGGCACATAGAATTTTTGCAGATGATAACACATTCTATCAAATTTTCAGGCACCCCCCTCCCCCCAACATCAGTTTGTCCTATGTTTCAAGGGGAAGATGAAGGAAATATGATGACACTGATTTCATGAAATAAAATTCCAGATAACTACGCTAAATGTGATTCTTTAAAAAAATTATCGCAAGCGCTGTGTAAAAGCAGGTGGGACATTAGAATATTAAAATAAAATAAGAAAACATGCATTTAAAGTATTTATCAGCAAAACTTTGTTGTTAGGGGTTGTTTAATGAATGCTTGTTGACTGAAATATGATGAGTTAAATCACTGAAGAAAAGCATCTCTTTCAAAGAGTGAACACTTCCAAACCCTAGGTAGCTCATTTAGTATTGCATAGATTAAATCCTGTCTTATTACTGATTAACTGATCCCACATATTTTGAAATCCAGAGGCGGAGAAGAGAACCCGAACTCACTGAACAGCCAGAGCGCCATAAGAAGGATGACCGTGGTCGCCGGCAGGGCTCTTGTGGTGCCGTAGGCCCAGGCCACAGAGTTGATCACAGCCCAGACCATGAAGAATGGGGCTGAAAGCAAGATTTTTACAAAACTCATTGGTGTACTGTCAAAGCATTACAAACTCATTGGTGTACTGTCAAAGCATTACAAACTCATTGGTGTACTCTCAAAGCATTACAAAACTCATTATATGTACTGTCAAAGCATAAAAAAATAAATCTCATTTAGCCGCAGCAGTGTTTTTCAACTAGGGTTCTACGGAAACTAAGGGTTCCGCAGATAGCCGGTAAAAAGATCAAAATAACTGACAGAATGGCCAGGGGAAAAAATCTGGCAGTAAAGACCCTGTGCAATAATTAGTCCTTGTTTATCCACTTAATTACTGTTTTCGTTGTTGTTCAAATGAGTGCAGAGTTTAAATTAATTATCACATTCTTGTTGTTTTTGCGTGGCCATGGACCCATTTATTAAAAAGAATAAATTAGAAGACACTATAGCTGAAGACCGAACTAAAATTCAGGAGCACTCGACCTAAGCTACTGCTAGTACCGGCGTCATGTGATTTGACAGCAGCTAAGCTAATACTGAGTCACGTGAGTCAAGCCTGCCAAAAATTGGCACTGTAGATCAGAATCTTAAAGTTTGTCAGTACAGTGACAGTTACTTAGCTATGGGATTCACTTGGGCAGGAGATTCTTTTGGAATATAACAAATCCTTGTGTCACGAATGGGGGGTTCGGTGATCCTTGTGTCACCCATGGGGGGTTCGGTGATCCTTGTGTCACGAATGGGGGGTTCGGTGATCCTTGTGTCACCCATGGGGGGTTCTGTGATCCTTGTGTCACCCATGGGGGGTTCGGTGATCCTTGCGTCACCCATGGGGGGTTCGGTGAACTATCTAAACACTCCAAGGGTTCCCAGTCCAATAAAGATGTTGTCAAACACTCAACTACAGATATCATGAGGCCCACTAAGAACAACTAAAGAATAAGACACATTGAAAGATCATTTCCAGTGGAAAATACGGTATCTAATGCTGCAAAAATGTTTCAAGTTAGCAAACCACATGGCTACAGAGCACATGGCTACAGAGCACATCGCTACAGCCTGTGTAAAGAATGGTTCATACCAGTTAATTTATATTTTAAAAAAAATAAAAAATATCTCTTAACTTAAAAGTATTAAAAGGTATGTAAAACTTGAGACCTTTGAAAAACCCAGATAGGTTTTTGTGCCAACAATGACAATGTATAACATACCTGCAAACAGCGCGGAAGTCAGGTTAATATTCCACACCCAATTTTCTCCTCCCATCTTCCTGAACATGTTTGCGGCCACGTAGCCGCTTATGCCTGAAAACAAAATGGTTGCAACTTAAGACCAAGAGTAGAATCATCAAAAATATTTAATGATGTTCCTAAAGAAAATTCCACCTTAGACAGTTATGAAAATTAATATATTACAAAAGGGAATAGAATTTTGTTTAAATTAAAATTTTGATGTTAACACGAGGCTAATTTTATGCGGTAATGGGAAGAAATTAAGCATGAATAATGTTTACCAAAGGAGGAGAACGCTGGTAAATTCTTAAGACTAGGGAACAAAATAATGTTTATATCTTTCGGTCCTAATCTTTAAAAGAATTAATTCACTCTGATTGAGCTGATCAGGTATATATGATGAAGTGGGTGAGATGTATTGTTGCACTGCTGAATAAGTTAATCACTTGTTTGTTTACGCTGAAATTGTACATTTTTTAAGGCTGAAAAGTCTTTGGTTGACTTTATTGAACAGATTTTGGCCACTTGCATGCCATATCAGCTTATTATTGATGGTAAAACCTAGGTGCTTATGTCTCTACATGCTCTATACTGTGAGTATTTATTGTGAAATCAGCTACTGGAGGTCAAGTTTTTGCTGTAATTCTTTTAAAATTTGTCTGAGGATAAGTTTCTCACAAAATTTCATTACAAGAGGTATTTGTGACTGGACTTATTAGTAAAAGAAATTATGGATTGTTGAAATTATAACTCAATATATTACACTGGACACATATAAGTTTAACACTATATGCTGAACTAAGATTATTCCGCCTGAGAATAGCCTTATATACCTGATTTGGTAAGATTCACAGAATGAGCTTAATCTTATCAGTCAACACAGACAAACTTACTGGAAGTAAATGCATACAGGACCACGGCAGCGGCGTTGATGGCTCCGTGTCGGTGGACATTGAACATGCCAGCTAGGGCCATTAACAGAATGCCGGTGGCTAGAGCCAAGAATTGTGTGCCAACGCCTGCAGGGAGAGAAGATTGTGTTCAAAACTGGGAAAAGGTCTATTATCAACTTCACTTTAATAAAACATATAAAAGAAAATGAATTGAATGCCTTGTGCTAGGCAATGAGTTGTGTTCCCAACTGGATCAATAATAAGCTAAAATAGGCTCAAGAAAACCTGCCCAAAATTGCACAGAACAGATTTTTATTGGGTGGAAATCGGAAAACATCGGTGCGTATGATTTTCCATCCATTGTCATCAGAATCCAAGTCATCCGCATCCTCTTCATCTTCAATGTTGTAACGGGCAAAGTCGCTCTTCAGGACTCTTGTCTGGGTGAACAGAAGGAAACATTACAATAAGATAATAGGGTTTTCAATCAAAGATACCATTCTTAGACAGCTGCCATATCTGATTTAAACCATTCACCAACACCAACCCCTTGAAATGTGTGTACATTTCAATAAAGATAACTTGACTGTTAACATAAAATATTTTGTTAAAACGAAATTTTGATATTTATAGAGCAAACTTGGCACCAGAGTTTGTAAAGAGTTCAGAGTTTAATAACACATATGCTTTAAAGGATGGATCATAGAGCAGAGACTTCAAGCTCATCTCATTTTGAACATTGCTCTATAATCAGCAGAGCCGTCACGTGACTTTTGGAGACCCCCTAAAACTTGTCTGTCCTGCCCGCCCCCCTCCCCAACCTTCCAAGATTGATCGTTTCTGTTTTCCTACTTGCCAACTTTGGGCACCTCAAATATCCCAGTCCCCATTCAACTCATGCTCTGTATACAAGTGTAGCCTTCTTTACTAGTAACCCACGTTTCAACCCCCCTCTACGATGGCTATATGGCCCATTTTGAGACCCTCTGCTCCATACAGCAGCAAATACATCCAAACTTGATTGGCTGCGGCTATTCGGACCCGGGTCCGAGAAGTAAGACAAAATTAGGTATCAAATGAAAGATAATTGAATGGACTATATAATTGTAAACTTACTCTTTAGTTTAACTAAAATAAACTACAACAAATGACATCCGAATAGCATTTAGTAAAAATGGATCCAGACACGCAGCGCTGCTTTTCGGACCCGGTTAAACTGAAGAAGTAAGTTTACAAACATATAGTCCATTCAATTATCTTTCACTTGATACCAAAATTTGTCTTACAACCTAACAATAATATTAAAAAATTTTTTTTTTAATCCCAACCTCTCACTTCCCAGACCCGGGTCCGAATAGCCACTTCGAACTTGATTAGATCATATTCAAGTTTTACCCCAAAAATAATAAAAAGGTGCCAAGAATCATTTAGACCAGGCCTGCACAACATACGGCCCGCCAGCACCCACTTTGTGGTGGCCCGCGAGGTAACGACAAACTCTTTATTCATATTATTTTCTTAATAGCTTTCCCTCTGACCTATATTCTTTTGGCCAGCACAAGTCCTGTCTTATTTTCTTTTGGCCCGCACAAGTTTTTCATAATGTATTACGGCCCGCCTTACATTTTGAGTTGTGCAGGCCTGCTTTAGACCCCGAGAGCAACTCACCATGATGATGACCACGAAGCCAATGAGAAGAAAGACCAGCACCAAGGAGTTGATGATCGACAGCCAATGAATCTGGATGTATCCAACAATCGTTTTTAAAGCAACAATCAAATGAAAATCAATATGACATATCAATTTAAAAAAATAACAAAAATTTCTGGCAATCTGAGAACATTCCTGGCAATTTAAAAAATTTACTTTCTTTACTGGCCATTTGCCTGCGAATACATTCACCACAGACATAACGACCAGACATTATTTTGATAAAAGTGTGTCATTTCTAAAATAAATTATTTAATAAAATCAGAATATTTGAATATCATGAAACGAAAATGACACTGGTAATATATACATAATATATATATGGAGATTTTTATAAACAAATTAAATTGTATTAAAAAATACAATTGATTTTTTTTTTAGAAAAAACTTTTTTAAAGGACAATTACCTCCCCCCCCCCCCCAAAAACTTAACAATATTTTCCATTTTTCTCAAGTCACCAACAATTCTTTTTTTCTTAAACAGAATGCTAAAATAATTTTAATTTAAAAATGTTAAGTACTTGCCTCCAGATTTTTGGGGAAAAATGAATTGTCCCTGAGCCTTGTTCCTCTCTGATCATAGCTGAGACTGTGGAATAAAGAAAACTTGTGAAGCAACAATCAAGTCACACTGAACACTTGCCATTTGCCTGTACTGTACAATTGTTCTGTAATAAATTAACTTGTTTCAAGACTGCTGGAAATAGTAGGAGCAGGTATGTGCTGGAAAAAGTAGGACAAGGTATGTGCTGGAAATAGTAGGACCAGGTATGCGCTGGAAATAGTAGGACCAGGTATGTGCTGGAAATAGTAGGACAAGGTATGTGCTGGAAATAGTAGGACCAGGTATGTGCTGGAAATAGTAGGACCAGGTATGTGCTGGAAATAGTAGGACCAGGTATGTGCTGGAAATAGTAGGACCAGGTATGTGCTGGAAATAGTAGGACCAGGTATGTGCTGGAAATAGTAGGACCAGGTATGTGCTGGAAATAGTAGGACCAGGTATGTGCTGGAAATAGTAGGACCAGGTATGTGCTGGAAATAGTAGGACAAGGTATGTGCTGGAAATAGTAGGACCAGGTATGTGTTGGAAATAGAAGGACAAGGTAAGTGCTGGAAATAGTAGGACCAGGTATGTGCTGGAAATAGTAGGACCAGGTATGTGCTGGAAATAGTAGGACCAGGTATGTGCTGGAAATAGTAGGACCAGGTATGTGCTGGAAATAGTAGGACCAGGTATGATTACAAAATCCCAGTTGAAGTGACTTAACCCTTTATCTAGGCATAAAACTACAAAGTAGATCTGAGCTCACCGAACCACCCGTTCACTCAACAAAGCAGACACGGTCAACCACAATAATTGCAGCGACAGTGTTAACCCAACTCCATCGACCCCATATTCTTTTCCAGCCATTCACCAGGTGAACACAGCACAAAAAAGACTCACTCTTAAAATATCACGCGTGTAAACAAAGAGACTATGCTCCACACACAAGATGGAAATGTGAGCACCGGTTAGACAGAATGTCTTTGATAAAAACTATGCTCCGCACACAAGATGGAAATGTGAGCACCGGTTAGACAGAATGTCTTTGATAAAAACTATGCTCCGCACACAAGATGGAAATGTGAGCACCGGTTAGACAGAATGTCTTTGATAAAAACTATGCTCCACACACAAGATGGAAATGTGAGCACCGGTTAGACAGAATGTCTTTGATAAAAACTATGCTCCGCACACAAGATAAGATAAGATTCTTTTATTGATGCAAATAAATGAACATTTTTTAGGTTGCATTACACATATTCATTTCCATCACATAAATAAACACATATTTTTAACCATGACAACATTTTACAATCATAACAATTTAATCACAAGACATCTAAGTATTTCTCTAGCATAAAAGTCAGCCATAAATGAACTCTTTTAGCGACAATAATGTCTTAATTAGTAATCATTTAGATGTAAAAACTGCTGGGGAAATGCCAGTCGAGAGAAAGTCTTTCAAGGGAAGGGATTGTTCCCACAATGCAATTAATTGTGGTTAAAACGGATCATTTCAATCAAACAAAGTAAAACTAACGTTGCTGATCCCAAAGAAACAAAACTATATTTTAAAAGTTATGCGTTGTGCATGTTCCGGATTCATCTGGTATAGAGCTGGTTAGTCAGTTTTTTAAGGCTTTGATTTTTCTTTCTGTTTTCTTTAACTATTTAATACTACTAAGAGTAGAGTTAGTTATTTGATCTGTTCCATTTGTTCATAAAAGAACGATCAATATTGAGGTTATCATCAAGAAAAGCTTTACTTTCAATGACTCTGTTCATAGCATCACAGAATAACAAAAAACCTTTGCTTCAGTTGAGAAAAGTAAACAGACTTGAAAATGGTGTCTTTTGTAGGTCGAGGTCAACTAAATTTCACTAGATGCCCAGTCTTGAGTTGAAACTATGGCGTAGGACGATGTAGAGTGGAGTAAAAGACTTACTCTGTGGAGACCCACTTGACTGTATAGGTGAAAGCCACTTCCATAGGGGTAGCTGCACCATCAAGAGAAATGGGCAACTGTTCCTTGGTTGTGACATTGGCATAAATTATCTGAAATATTTATGAATATTGGATTGGAAATGTGTCTATGTGGTTTAAATAGGAAAATATATTGACTATTGTATTTCTTAGCTTAAATATTTACTTTAAATATCTATCAATCTAGCATACTTAAAAATAACCATCAAGTCTCTCTCTATCATTTTTTAGTCTTCTAAAAAGAAAAGGGGCATAACTTATTCAAAAGTTAGCTTTGCACCATCACTTGCTATTTATAAATGTCCACTATGTGAAATACATATAAAACAACCCCCCCCCCCCCCCCCAAAAAGAAAAAAAAATACAAAAAAAAAAAAAAAAAAAAAAAAAAGTATTTTCAATATACAAATCTTAATCTAAAAAATACAAGGAATATTAAAACTAATTTTATGCAGCATAAATATATATCAACATTTTACTGTATTTTAGAATGTTATTATTTAATATTATTACGTATGGATAGTAAAAAAATATGTCCTTTAGTTATAAATGTCTTTTCACACCATGCCACTTTTCGTCCCATTCATTTTCATTTGTCACTCATTGTCTCCTCGTTTTAAACTTAACCAGCAAAGCCTAAAGCTGCAACAAATGTTGACTGTATCAATAATAAACAAGATGGGGGACTCACATGATCCTGGTTGTACTCGATGTTGAAATGCAGATGGACCCAAAGATAGATTTTGTGGTTGTGAGGTAGAAAACCTCCCTCCTCTAGATGTCCAATGAAGCCTCGTATGGGAATGTCATCTGCGTTTACAAGAAAACACAATAGTACGCAGAGGGCTCATACAAATTTGTTCATTTATAACAAATTTAAAAAGTGTAATTTATCATTTTTAAAATGTGACAATAAAAAGTGAAATTCTGAAGCATCGGGACCAAGTTTTTTAAAATAATTTTAAAAAAAATTCCTTATCTTGGTAAGTAAGCCTCGTTTCTTAATGTTTACAAAATTTCATAATCAACTTAAACTAGAAACACTTCACAAAACAATATCAAAGCTTTTGAATAAAATCCTCCATCAAACGAACCTAACACAAACTCAAAATAGTAGAGGTCCTCTATGGCACTGCGCAACAGTTCAAGGTCGCTCTCACTGTACTTGACTTTACACAGTTCCGTCTTCGTTGGAACGTCCGCTGTGGAGACGGGGATGCACAAGCATGAACACACTCATAACCACTATATTTACAAGTGAATACTTTTTATTAAAAAAAACTGTTACACCAACTAAGCCGACCTGGCTTGATTCACACTATTTTGAAATAGAGAAAATGTTTGGACGCACATTGTTCTTGAAAACAGCCTTCTAAAATAAATGGCCAGACCTCTCTACCTCCTCACTGTTATGTTCCTAACTCCCTTCCCAAAGTCCCAAACACTCCCCTCCCATAGTCCCAACCACTCCCCTCCCAAAGTTCCAACCACTCCCCTCCCAAAGTCCCAACCACTCCCCTCTCAAAGTTCCAAACACTCCCCTCCCAAAGTTCCAACCACTCCCCTCCCATAGTCCCAACCACTCCCCTCCCAAAGTTCCAACCACTCCCTTCCCAAAGTCCCAAACACTACCCTCCCAAAGTCCCAACCATTCCCCTCCTAAAGTTCCAACCACTCCCTTCCCAAAGTCCCAAACACTACCCTCCAAAAGTCCCAACCATTCCCCTCCCAAAGTTCCAACCACTACCCTCCCAAAGTTCCAACCACTCCCCTCCCAAAGTTCCAACCACTCCCTCCCAAAGTCCCAACCACTCCCCTCCTAAAGTTCCAACCATTCCCCTCCCAAAGTTCCAACCACTCCCCTCCTAAAGTTTCAAACACTTCCCTCCTAAAGTTCCAACTATTCCCCTCCCAAAGTTCCAAACACTACCCCAAGAAATAAACAAAAAAAAAACAAAACTATCATATAATTGAGTTTCTTTTTCCCCAAAGCTACAAGCATTTTCCACCATCTTGCTTGTAACAAAAGATGAGCACCACTAGCACTGCTCAACAGTCTTGTAACAAAAGATGAGCACCACTAGCACTACTCAACAGTCTTGTAACAAAAGATGAGCACCACTAGCACTGCTCAACAGTCTTGTAACAAAAGATGAGCACCACTAGCACTGCTCAACAGTCTTGTAACAAAAGATGAGCACCACTAGCAATGCTCAACAGTCTTGTAACAAAAGATGAGCACCACTAGCACTGCTCAACAGTCTTGTAACAAAAGATGAGCACCACTAGCACTGCTCAACAGTCTTGTAACAAAAGATGAGCACCACTAGCACTGCTCAACAGTCTTGTAACAAAAGATGAGCACCACTAGCACTGCTCAACAGTCTTGTAACAAAAGATGAGCACCACTAGCACTGCTCAACAGTCTTGTAACAAAAGATGAGCACCACTAGCACTGCTCAACAGTCTTGTAACAAAAGATGAGCACCACTAGCACTGCTCAACAGTCTTGTAACAAAAGATGAGCACCACTAGCACTGCTCAACAGTCTTGTAACAAAAGATGAGCACCACTAGCACTGCTCAACAGTCTTGTAACAAAAGATGAGCACCACTAGCACTACTCAACAGTCTTGTAACAAAAGATGAGCACCACTAGCACTACTCAACAGTCTTGTAACAAAAGATGAGCACCACTAGCACTGCTCAACAGTCTTGTAACAAAAGATGAGCACCACTAGCACTGCTCAACAGTCTTGTAACAAAAGATGAGCACCACTAGCACTGCTCAACAGTCTTGTAACAAAAGATGAGCACCACTAGCACTACTCAACAGTCTTGTAACAAAAGATGAGCACCACTAGCACTGCTCAACAGTCTTGTAACAAAAGATGAGCACCACTAGCACTGCTCAACAGTTACATTCTTCACTCCTTTATCCTTTATTTAAACATCTATCTAAACAATCTTCTGAAGCCCAGAACCCTGAAGCCCATCCTCGTGTTACTTTGTTTCTCCTGGTTGCCACAAAGGCTCAGTTAGAATGTTACTGATGGATAATAAGCTTTTCAACGGTCCGATTTTATCATTTATCCACAGGTTGGATAAAAAGATTGGGCGCATGGCTCTATGGGCCACAGTCCTTACGACTTTGTTTTAAATTAAGATTATCCACAAAAAATATGGAAACTGATTTACATCTAAATTTACAAAAATATTAGAGCTCAACAGGCCAATGGCAACTGTAGAGAAGTATTGAATGATATCATCATGCTTACTTCTGTACTTGATATCATAAAGGGAGAGAGCCATTCGGTCTCCATCAAGAACTTCACCCAGGGTAAGGCTCTTGTGTTCAATCTGAATAGAACAACATTCGTAAATTTCAAATCTCATAAAGCTAAATGAAAAATGGTAATAAAAGTTCAGTTCATATGAATACTTCGAGTTCTTAGTGTGATAGTTTTTAAAGATTACATTTGGAGTGTGGCTTTGAAGAGATGTTAAGGATTGTTTCAGTACTACCCTAATTCAGTGGTTCTCAATCTTCCTAATGGTGCGACCCTTTAATACAGTTCCTCGTGTTGTGGTGACCCCCAACCATAAACTTATTTCTGTTGCTGCTTCATATATATGTGTTTTCTGATGGTCTAAGGCGACCCCTGCGTAAGGGTTGTTCGACCCCAAAGGGGTCATGAACCACAGGTTGAGAACCGCTACCCTAATTGGTAACAGGTGTTTTACTGAATACTAGGCTTGTCTAAGGGTGCAAGAGTCAACAAAACTGCAAATCTGTACAGATGCCGTCTTAGGGACATTCAGTCTTCTAAGAGCAGCAGCTGACACTTAACTCCCTTTGAGGAAGCTGTCAGGGACAGATTGGCTCTAATAAACGGAAACCATGCGGTGTGATGCTGACAAGTGTTGGTTACAGTTACATTACTTCAGATAGAGATAAAACAAATCGACAACACCATCAAAACAAAAGCTAGCTGAAAACAGGTTTGAGTGGCACTCCATTAACTTTGAATTGCTCAATGTGGCCCTTACTTTCTGTGGCCTGCAGACCGGCAGCTGGTAGTAGTGGTAGGTTTCATGGGGATTGAAGTAAGGACCAACTTTGTTGACATAAACCAGAACCTGAGGAAGGGAAATATTTCAACGTTGTCAAACAAAAATATGATCATGTCAAGAAATTTTAGTTAAGGCCGTAGTTAGAGGAGATACCGGGTTGACCTGAGATAAGATGGACATGTAACAGAATAACAGAATCAATATTTTACACACTTTTACATTTATTTCTTAGAGATAAAACAAAATATTACTGAATTTGAAATTTTTTTCTTTTTCAAACTAGAATTCTTATATCACCAAAATCTTTCCTCTAATGACCAAATCTTTAAAAATATCATCTTTCCAACACAATCTTCACCCTAGCCTAGCATATTTTTCAATATGAAACCCCGCTAAAAGGGACACACCCAACTCCTGGCATTGATGTTATGAATTTCATTCAGATAAAGCAGCCATTTGGGCATACGCCCTTTGGCCAGATGTTATGAAGAAATATAATTTTATCTTTCCTGTAGGGGTAGTTTCAGATATGGATACGGCTATAATATTAAATTGACAACTATCACTTGAGATTAATTTAAAGTATATAACTCTGGTCCCTTATAAATAACTATATATAGCATATGAACTGATGTAGCCTTTGATCAGTAAAAATCAAATTTGGGGGAGGGGGGAAGCTAAAAAAGCATTTAAAAAAAAAAGTCAAAGGCCGTAGGTTAAAGTGAAAATATTAGAAACCAAATTTAAAGCATTTTAACCATCTAACTGTTCATGATTACCATGTATCTTTAAAAACAACAACAACAACAACAACCTGGTTCCCCACTTATATGGTGTCAGAGATGTTGGAAAATACATTGAAATGACAATTGTCACATATATACAATAAAGGTACTAATCATACTTTTTCTGAAACCTGTTTGTTTTATAAGTTGACCCCCCTTAGTTTTGGATGGGGGAAAACCCCTGGTCCTATGCCAGTATAAGCAATATGGTACGACAGAATATCAACGATGCAAGTGATAAAAACGACGGAATAGTGGCGCCATCTACTTTTTGGGATCTTTTGTAAACAATCGCCTGAGCACGTGAACTAAATTTTTTTTGTTGAAATCATAAATTGTAAAACTTGACATTTAAACTTGTTATTTCAAGATGAAAACAAATCAAATAAATAATGAAAGGGAAGTCCAGATATTTCTTAATATTTAAGGCTTCTGGTAGGGTATATTATTCATTACACCTGCAGAAAATCTATACTCAATGACCCATTCTTAAGCAGACTGCCCCACTTACCTTCTTGAAATTATGTTGGTAGAGATGTCTTTTAAATATATGTATGTAAGGGGACATCCATTAATGATGGCACACTTTTTTTGCAAACTTTTTAAAACACTTTATCTCCCCATATTAACAAAATTTAGAAACCACTGTCACAAAGTTATGAGGGCCCTGTCATTCAATTGTGGGGGCGGTGTCATTCAAATTGTGGGGGCCCTGTCACTCAATTGTGAGGCCTCTGCCACTCATTTTGGACCGCCCTGCCACTCATTTGTGACCGCCTTGCCACTCACCCCTCTAGATGTGTGAAGGCAGTTATGAATAGCCCCTAATTTCTGTGTAAATTTTAAGAGCAAGGAGCTTCAATATTGATAAAATAAAGACATTTACAATCATATTTCTCTTAATCGGCTACAATTTCCAATACAAATTTGGTAGCAGTCTGCCTTAATTTTGTTTTTATGGAAGTACATACCGGGCTTAGATTGGAGTTTGGCTACTTTGTGTCACAAACATTCCCATTATTTTTTTCTTTCAATCCATTACAAACCCCACCCCCTCAAAATTTGACGAAAACGTAAAAGCTGTGATTTCTTCTTCTCTTCTTATGTTAGGGGCCCACTATCAATTGGTTTAAATTCAGAATTTGCCTTCTCTTAGATGGGTTGCCGTCCAAGGCTAATGAGTCCCATCCACCCGGGGTTCTTGGGATGTTGGCTTTGGTGTGGAGTGAACTCCAGACCACCAGCTATTTGGTGTGAGACAGTTTAGACCGCTCTGCCACCCAGCACCCTACTTGGGTAGGATGTCAACATGTCAGAATGTGTGTCCCTACTTGGGTAGGATGTCAACATGTCAGAATGTGTGTCCCTACTTGGGTAGGATGTCAACATGTCAGAATGTGTGTCCCTACTTGGGTAGGATGTCAACATGTCAGAATGTGTGTCCCTACTTGGGTAGGATGTCAACATGTCAGAATGTGTGTCCCTACTTGGGTAGGATGTCAACATGTCAGAATGTGTGTCCCTACTTGGGTAGGATGTCAACATGTCAGAATGTGTGTCCCTACTTGGGTAGGATGTCAACATGTCAGAATGTGTGTCCAGCAAATGTTAGATCATGTGGACATAAAGTTAGCTGATGTTTATTTTTGGTTCTTTCTGTGTTTTGGTGAGAAATGAACTCCAATACCAGCACACAAATTTATTGAATATCTCTCAAAACTTTAATTTTAAAATAAATATTCTGATCCACATCTGTAGAAGTAGTAGTATTCGCTGAGGCGAATATTTGAGAGAAAAAACAACAGGATATTTGGCTGCGTCAAATGTCTGGGGCAATATCCAGTTGTTCCCTAATAATATTAAAAATTAACAACAAATTAACCAAATAAAGAACACATAGTCCTTAGCATCCTAATGCCAATTTAATAAGTAGGGCTTGTAATCAACTAATATTAACTTAAAGTTTAAAAATAATTTTTATGCTAATTTTTGTTGGGCTCGCCACTTTGAGTTTCTGTGTAGAATTCACTCCCCTTTGTTTTATTTGTGGATTTTTCCTCACGTTAAACTTCTTTTTTCAAATTAAATATTAATACAACAATGGTATGTTTTAAATTATCATTTCAATGGGTGGCTAATTATAATTTAAAAATTTTTGGCGGCATTTTGGAATGTGGATATTGTATAGATTTTCAGTCAACTTTTGGATTTTTAATTTTAGTGGAACCTACAATAAAGTAGATTAAAGTGTATTCTATGAACATGTTAGTTCAGTTTTCATTATTTAAAAAAAATATCTTGTATTGTTTTTCTTTATTTTTGAACTGTTGCTCACATGTTTGAGTTGAGGGAAGGGAGCGACCCCAGAGGAAAAAGGCTCAAAGGCAGATCTAGGCTTAGGTGGATAGATGATGTAGAAAAAGATCTACAGCAACTGAAAGTCCAAGCATGGAAAAGAAAGGCATTAGTTAGGTCTGAGTGGAAGGAAGTGGTTACCCAGGCCAAAGCCCTACATGGGCTGTAGTGCCACAGGGATGGATGAAGAGAGCGACCGTAGGTTGTTGATACTTCTTGCTGCATATCTAGAGGGACACGATAAATTTGCTACGCTTGCCATGAAATTAATGTACCAGCTGAAATTGTACGGGGGGGTAGCTGGTCGTTTACACTTCTTGCTACACATATCTAGAGGGATGCAATAAAGTTGCTAAGTTTGTCACAAAATTAATGTACCAGCTGAAATTATTTCATTAAATTTTAACAATTTGTTCCTATTTATGTTTCTCTCTATAAGAATCCCTAAACTAAAACAACACTCAGCACATTTTTTCTCTTTCCCATTCCCCTTTTTAGCAGACGTGTGTTGGGATTACTTTTTTTTTGACACAGCTGCCATCTTGGTTTCCATGACAATCAATCAAGGTATGGCTGACGTGGGAAATGAGTGGCTCGCCAAACCAATATTTACTATTACTCCCTCTTTTTTAATAATAATAATAATGGCAATGGTAAATGAAAATGTGAAGAGATAGCTACCCAGATTCCTGTTGTTCATGTTTGTGCATATAGGCTACTCAATGAAGACCGTCATAAAAAATTTGATTAACAGCCTAGTTAAATTAGATAAACCTCGACACCCTAGGCCTAAAATAACAATAATAATTTTATAGTAATAAGTAGGCCTAATAAACTTTTTTAATGTAATAATTCAATTTACATTAATTGTCAGTAGACAAGAATGTGGACTGTATGTTTGAGGTAGTAAATTGCAAAGCATTAGTCCTTGCACAAAAATTTTAATTTGCTGTTTTAATATATAGAGGAATATAAAATCGAAAAACCTTATCTCCTTCTTTAAAAGTAGTAGCCGTTGTAACTGATATATCTACTGCAAGTGCCAACGCAATCAACTTCCAAACCGACGCCATCTTGAAAACAACATAGATAATCTCGCCGTTTCCGAGATTACATGTTATTTGATTATTAATGCTAGTCACTGTAAGTAAAAGCGCAAATTCACCGCACGAAAACAACTAGTCAGATTGCTTATTAAATTCATCCTTGTAAATAATCAATAAATTATTCAAACTTCATTATTTCATTTAATAATAATAGCCACAAATACTAAAATTACAATCGATATTTAAATGCAATTTCCCCACCAAATTAAAAAAACAACAAACAACAACACGCAGACGAAGTAGATGTTGTAGCCCTGTGCCTGTACTGTACTGTAACTGTATAATTAAATCGTTAAATGTTAAATGTAAATGCTCAAACTCAAGTTAATGTGAATGACCAATGCATGTAAATTAAGTTACAAAATGATTTATAATACCCCAAACTTATTTCAGGAATTCACAAAATATTATATTATTAATATAAGAGAATTTACACACCCCCCACCCCCCGTCATATTTTGTTATTTAATTTTTTTCGTGTATGAAAACATAAATTCTAGGACCAACATCCTTTTTTCCTTTTCTTTTTTGCAACGTCACTGTTAAAGTTAAAGACTTCTGCTTCCAATACGGCAGACTACGCTCTCTCTCTCTCTCTTTCTCAGGCTGAGCCGATAGTAATCATTACAATGTGGACTCGTCTAAGTTAGCAGACAGCCAGCGACAGATCAAACGAAAACTAAAGTGAACTCGTCCAAGGTTAGGTCAAAGGCTGAATGCTAATCTCCTTGCACTTTTTTGCATGGATCAGCGGGTATATATTTCTCCGCCGTGTTGTAGAGCCAGTTAAATTTTTTAAAGGTTCCTGTGATTTTTCAGACGCTTCCTATATTTAATTTATATAATTTTTAGTTCAAAGAGGTTTAAAAACGAAATGCAAACATGTGTCTCATCAATATTGATTAACAGCAATTTACTTTTTAGAGCGTAGGGATCCACTTATTTACATGAACTCTACGGCTCAGCTAATCCTCTTAGGATTGGCTTTATCTTAGGAAGGTTAGGATAGGCGGTGGACGACAGTACCGTTAGCGGGCACACAATGGAAATAGGCCACAATGGAAGAAGTGAATGCACACCGAGGACGTAAATTTAGATATCCATTACTTATTTTTATCGCGAAAACGCCTTGACATGTGAAGGGATAGCGAGATAATCCCGTGTGGCAGCATATTGTGGTTTTTTGCTTTCTTGGTTGGTGTTGCCTCTGTCGCGAGAATTTGATCCATCACAGTGAGGGCCTACTGAGGAGACGGGCGATAAGTCTCGGATATTCACACACATCTGTGCTGCCGGGCCGACAAGGCACTCACGAAAGGGAGAAATTATGGAAATGGAAACAACATACCCTAAAAACACATGGACTGCTAGTGCGAACTGTCAGCAGAAAAAATTCACCGGTCCGATAGCACCAGCACACAACGGACTCGCAGCAGACGACGATGAACTCTTGGATATTGACGACGTGAGTAGTAGCTTTAAAAAAATATAGATTATAGTCATATTTAAATGATGGGCCACACCACAATACCCCTAAAATTACTAATAATTGATTTGTGAGTAAATATGAGTTTTAATACCTATTTAGTTTAGTTTACATTTCAATTATTATCATCTATGTCAATACTTGAGCCGTGCACATATTATATTAAATATAATAGCAGAAAAATATAACATTTTAAACCACCCCTACCCATTGTCACGTTTTTATAAAGTGTCTACTGTCCAGCTACCTAATTAATATTGTATAACATGTCTATGAACCACCCCACCCCATGTAACACACTATAACGAAATGATAAACCAACCCCTGCCCCTTTTCGCGTTACATTAGATTTGCCCGGTCCTTAAACACCCACTGTGTTGAGTAGGCTTATACTTATTGTGTTGCATTATTTATGATAACTTTTTTTTTGTTATCAACCGTGTAAAAACGTGACCCCAACCCCCTTTCCTGCCCCACCACGTACGCTTAGTATAAATTCTAGATTTACAAAATAAAATGTACACAAATATAAATTAATGGTCCCTACTATTAAATAAGTCCCTACTTTTAAGTAATGTGTATGCAATAGTTACAAGCGATCGTTGGAAGATAAAATTGATATATTTTGATTTGAGTTAGGTCTTAAGTGTACAGCCTGTTTAACTAAGCTTTCAAAGCAAAAGCAAAGACCAGAAAAAATTATAAAAAATGGCCATGTCTAACTATCTAAATACAATTTTTTTTTTTCAATCAGCCATTCACAAATTAATGAAAATAATACTTTATTTGGCATCCTCATTTATTGAATTCTTTATTAATGCCCAGGAATGTGCCATTAATGACGTAGGGTAGATGTTAGTAGGTTATGCCACTAGGATACTCAGGATAGTAATCTATCAACAATTAACATTAAGGAAATGCTGAAGAAAAACGCTCCTTTAAAATTCTGCTTTCGTTAATAATATTTAAAAAAAAAAAAAATTCTTTTTAAAATTGATTGATTTATAATTATTGTAATGCTTACAACACACCCTCGTATTTGCTGATACTGACAGTGTGTAGTAGTCTTACCCCGGTCATAAAATAAACACCACCAAAGTTCTCACAATTAATGTTACAGTTACAGTGCATAGAAAAAGAATTCACACGACAGCCGTAATTTACTGTTGGATGTTACGTAAGTGTGTACGCTAAGTATTTTGGGGTTAAAACTATACAATTTTACCAATTTTATTGAAATAAAGGCTGATGTAGCATTCTTTAATCTCGTAGTTCAATTGAAAAACAAAAAAAGCATTGGTTAAAATTTAGGAAAACAACATATTCTCCGAGTATTCCTCCCTCCCACGCGTGGGCGCCCGCAGGGGGGGGGCAAGGGGGGCACTCCCCCCCCACCCCCCGGATTGATTGCCTATGACCTGTGATGCACCCTCCTTGCCCCTGCTTCATTTTCTGTCTCGGGTTAATCCTGTAATATAGGCCAAAACGTGCCAAAGTGTCCTCGTTTCATAGCCATTTTAATTGTTTCTATAGTATAGTAGTTACTATCCTAATGTCTTATTTTTATTTTAGTTAGTTTACATGTTTTTAATAATTGTAAAGCGCTTAGAGCTTTAAGGTAAGCGCTATATAAAAATGACTAAATAAATCAATAAATTGGATACAAATTTTTTAGACAAAAATAGACAAAAAAATGGATTAAAGTAAAGAGAAACTAAAGAGAAAGTAACTCAGCTGATGTCCTGTCCGATCGTTCACCATACAAATACGCTACAGTAAATTAAAACTACATTAAAACATTACTAAACATTCCCCCCCCCCTCCTGGAAAGTTATCGATTTCCCCCCCCCACCCCACCCCAAGAAAGTTTTCTGCGGGCGCCCATGCACCCACGTTAAGGCTTTTGTTTAGAGATTGTCCGTGGGATCATTCATTACTGCCACGAGAGGCCCCGTGTTTTGTATTGAGTTGTAGTTGTGTTATTTAGTAAGCTGCTAAACCCGTGCATTTATTAGACAACACTTTGATTTGCGCTCACAACAGTCTGAGCTTGCGTCTGAAACGGACTGACTTTGTTTTGTTTTTGTTTTTTTGTACTTTACTTTGGGGCTGAGCAAGGACTCCCCCCCCCCACTTTAAACAAAATACAGCCCAAGTCAAGGCTACTATTCCAATCCGAAAATTACTGTGGTAATCTGACGAACAATAATAATACTAGTTTACTATGAATCGTATTTCTCTTGTGAGTCACTTGAAGCAATAGCATCCCCCCTCCCCCCACTCACACACATACACACACACACACACACACACACACACGCACCCCTTTCCTACAAAAATTAATTAATGAAATAAGCAAATAATTATCTAAAATAAAAATAAAATTATAAGTAATAAACAATTAAAATAAGATAAGTAATAAACAATTAAAATAAGAAAAGATATAAAAAATTAAAATAAGATAAATAATAAACAATTAAAATAAGAAAAGTGATAAGCAATTAAAATAAGATAAATAATAAACAATTAAAATAAGATAAGTAATAAACAATTAAAATAGGATAAGTAATAAACAATTAAAATAAGATAAGTAATAAACCTAAAAGTAGGATAAGTAATAAACAATTAAAATAGGATACGTAATAAACAATTAAAATAAGATAAGTAATAAACAATTAAAATAAGATAAGTAATAAACAATTAAAATAAGATAAGCAATAAACGATTAAAATAAGATAAGTAATAAACAATTAAAATAAGATAAGTAATAAACAATTAAAATAAGATAAGCAATAAATGATTAAAATAAGATAAGTAATACAAAAAAATTGAAATAAATCAAACGAAAATTCGAATCAATGATGAAATAACAAGTCAATATAACTTTTGACTTTTTTTCCCCAAAGACCCCCCCCCCCCCCGCCCGCACGAACACACACACACACTTTTCCATTTATTGTGTTTCATGTGGTTAGTTTATGAGTCACGTGATTTACCCACAAAACCCCAAATATTTGAATAAAATTAAAAAAAAATGAGCCATGACGTCATTTGATGCAACTAAAATACAATACAAAAAGTCGTCCGCATTTTGTCCCCACCGAGAGTTGTGTAGGGGCCCTAAAGAATTGTGCGTGGTTTAATGGGCGATGGACTGACTGGCCGACCATTCTGTAAAAAAAATGAAAATGTTGTAAAGCATTGTAAACGAAGTTTAAGTATTACAGCACGGTAATCTATACAAGTAGACAGAACTGCTTTGGGAAGATTTCATATTGTGATGCTATCATGCTGTGAAGTGTCGTGACGTGATGGTATCACGTTGTGAAGTGTCATGACGTAATGTTATCACGTTGTGAAGTGTCATGACGTGATGGTATCATGTTGTGAAGTGTCATGATGTGATGGTATCATGTTGTGATGTGTCATGACGTGATGGTATCATGTTGTGAAGTGTCATGACGTGATGGTATCATGTTGTGAAGTGTCA